GGCGGCCTCAAGGAACAGCGACAGGTTGGCCTGAACCTCGCTGCGGTTCGGGTTGGTCCGGTTCTTAGCCTGGCTCTGCAGCGTGGTGATCTGGTTCTTGAAGGCGTGGTTCCACCTACAGCAACAGCAACCAGATAGGTCAGAGGTCACCAGAAACAAACCCAAAGTTAGCGAAGTTCGTTTCATTCCGGAAGGAAAAAAAAGATCAAAGAGAATAAAAACCTTCAGCTCAGTTCAACGGTTAGCGCTAGCTGCTGCTACCAACTGCTGCTGTTAGCTGCTGCTGCTAACTGCTACCAACTGCTGCTGTTAGCTGCTGCTGCTAACTGCTACCAACTGCTGCTGTTGCTCCTGCTGCTAACTGCTGCTGTTAGCTCCTGCTGCTAACTGCTGCTGTTAGCTCCTGCTGCTAACTTCTTCTTCTGTGGTTCTGAACTGTCGTCATGTCTCCTGGTGATCAACCAGGCGATGATAAAACAAAGTTTTCTCATGACTCATAAAACTCGCTGGTCCTGAACCTGAAACTAAGTTATTTAAAACTTGCTAATGGTTCTCAGCGCCAAGCCCCGCCTCCTCACCAGGTGAACACAGGTATGGAAGCTGCAGCGGCCAAAACAGACAGACTACCATCAACATGAACAAAGTCTGCTGACGACAAATCATAACGTTGGTGTTTCAGACCAATATAAGTTAATGATATAATAACACATTCACAAAGAACAAACTTTAATTTCTCATGAACATTTAACTCTGAAAGACATTTTAAAAATAAACAAACAAAAATAACAAATAAAACAAATAATCAGGAAACAAAATTATTCTTTAAAAAAAGTTTATCACCCAGTTTGTGGTGCTAAGAGAAAAACAGTGTGTGTGTGTGTGTGTGTGTGTGTGTGTGTGTGTGTGTGTGTGTGTGTGTGTGTGTGTGTGTAGCAGCAGCTTACAGGTCCTGCTCCACCTTCTTGTCCAGAGCGTACTCCAGGTCCGTCACCAGCATCTTCTGGTAGAGGTCCTGCAGCGCCTGGCGGGACGTCCACACCTCTGCTGCCCCCAGCTTGGAGTCTGGAACCCGGAGAGGAAGAGGAGGGAACTGAGCTCCAATCGGACCAAACCGTTTCTGCTGACGTTCTGATCAGTTGGTGATGAAGATCGACTCCAGCCTGTCAGGTTTTGGCTCCCTTTGAACTTTTCCTCCAATTCACTTAAATCAACATTCAACGTTGAGTTTCTGCACATTTATAAACAACTTACATTTTTATTAGCACCTAAATTATTTTTAGTAATATAAGAAATATTAAAAGTTGAAATTTGATCAAAATAAACTAATATTTTCCTTTGAAGCTTCAAAACTGAAACAAGCCGTTTCATTGGCTGTCAGACATCATGTGACTGTGACGTAAACAGGAAGTCCATCAGCTTTTCATGGACATCAGTTCAATGAAAACTGGGTTTGATAGAACCCATCCGGACCTAAAAGTCCAGTAAAGTCTGCACAGCTTCAGTCACAAAAATCTGAATAATCTGTAATAAACCTGAGATTTGGCAGAAAAATGTCCACCAAGATGTTGAGCTTACAGCAGATTACTGAGTCATAATCCAGCAACAAACTCAAAGTCCATCAAATGAACCAATCAGAACCTGATCCAACTGGACTGAAGGGTTCTGGGGAGCCAAACTAAAACTGAACTGGTCAGGTCAAAGGTCATCAGAGGAAATGCAGGTCGTCTGTCTGCAGAACTTTAACTTCAGGAATCTTCAGATAAGTGAATAAAGAAGATAAATGTCTCTACAAACATGTAATAAACATGTTTATTACGTGTTTATAACATGCCTCCGAACAGGTCAGACCGGACACACCTGCACCTGTAACACGTGGCTCACCTGAGGACCAAGTCTTTATTCTGGGTGAAATCAAATTAACCAATCAGAGACCAGAACCAGATAAAAAATGGAGAAACTGGATTATCTGCTGGTCAATCGATGAATAAAAACCAACTGAACAGAAATAATTGAATTAAAATGTTTCTCAGTGAAAAGCAGATAAATGGATCAAAGAGCATTGATTCCTCTTTTTAATCACTTTTATTCGTATAAAGTCTAAAACATCAGAGTCAGTCCCAGGAGCCAACATGTTGAACCGCTACCAGCAAGTCAGAGGTCAAAGGTCAGAAAGCTGGGTAGAGGTCAGTAAGCTGATGGTTCAGCTGATCGTGTTTGTTTTGGTTATGAAATGATTTGCTCAGGTTTTCACTGCTCCTGTTAATCAGTGCAGGAATGAAACGTTTCACTGCATTCAGGCTTCTGATGGGTCCAAAACTAACTAACTGATCAATTCTCAATAATTAATTAAGCCCGTCTGATGGTCTCTATGGTAATGCTCCATGAAGCCGTTTTAACCTGCTGGACGCCCAGCAGGAAGTAGACGGAGCCCGGACAGGTGTGAGTGTGACGGAGCAGACCTACCTGTCATGTCAGCCTTCAGGGCCTCCGCCTGGCTGCTCGGATGTAAACAGAGAGGAGAAGGAGGTTAGAGACACAAAGCAGGACCCGGGATTCACCTCTTCATCGCACCTGCTCCTCTTCCTCCTCACTAAAACATTTAACAGCTCAGATCGCATGTCAACATGAAGCCAATGGGCTCCGGCTACTTTCTGGGTCCAAACCATAACCAACCGCACTGTGAGGCTTCCTAAAGATGAAACTCTTCCTCTCCGTTGTTATTAACTCTGACTGTGAGCAGACAGAAAGTCTGACACGACGGTTTCCAGCTGGAGGAAGTTCCAGTCCAGTAATTACCCCATAAATGTAGCAGTATCGATGCTAACCTGACAGCCGCAGAGAAGCTAACAGGCTAACAACAAACAAACCGTGGATAAAAACTATTAAACACAAGTTAATAGCTTGTCTGCCTCTAACCACATATTAACTCAATATCCAACATTAGTGGCTGAGAATGAAAGCTGCTGCTGCCTCTCATCACAAATATATGAAGCTAACGCCTCATGATGCTAGCTAAGCTAGCTCCAGGCTAACAGCCGAGCAAAACAATCCAGCAGCGGGGAGAAACCTGCTCCTTCCCGGGCCTCCAGAACCTCCAGAACCACCGGAACCACCGGGGCGGGACTCGGAGCCCAACTCACCGCAGGTACTGGGCGCAGACGTTCATTCTCCCGGGTCCAAACCGGTCCTTTAAACTACGACTGGTCCCGAAGCTAACTCTCCTCCAGGCGCCATCATGTTCCTGTGTGACCTGCAGAGGGCCCGCGGTGCGGGGGCGGAGCAGGGGCGGAGAGCCGGGGGGCCGCGGGGGCCCGAGTATCAGGTAGCGTTTATTATTTAGTGAAACACACACACACACACACACACACACACACACACACACACACACAACACACCACACACACACACACACAGGTGCTTTGTGGTTTTGTGCTGTTTGTATAATTATCATTTACTTAAATATCATATCAGTCAAAATGAACAATACTAATACATATTGAACTCTCATTCTCTCTAAACCAGTGGTCCGCCATTCACTGCTTGAGTCACTATAGACATATGGACTGAACTTATATAGCACTTTTCCAATCATTTTGACCACTCAAGTCACATTCACCCATTCGCTCACACAATGAATATGCAGACCGGTAGGCAATTTGGGGTTAAGTGCCTTGCCCAGTGGCACATCGACATAAGGTAGCAGGAAGCTGGAATCAAACCTACAACCTTCTGATTGCAAGACGACAACTCTGCCACACAGCCACTTTGAAAACATACTTAGACTTAGACTTAGACTTGACTTTATTGATCCCTTGGGAAGACTCCCTCAGGAAATTATAGTTACCAGCAGCTCACAGGCAAAAATGTGGCACACAGTAAGCATACACAAAATAAAAAAAATACAAATTAAATACAAAACAAAGAATATAAATACAACACAAAAGGAAATTATAGCAATTTGGTGGATAGATTGACCAGTGATATGGTATTGCACTGTATGGTTTGGCCTGATAAATATGGAGTTCACATTTGTAGAAAAACTACTCCTTCTTCCCTCTGTCCTGTGTCACCTCCGACCCCCCAGTGAGGAGTTGTACAGTCTGAAGGCGTGGGGGACAAAGGAGTTCTTGAATCTATTGGTCCGGCACTTGGGAAGCAGCAGTCTGTCACTGAACAGGCTCCTCTGGCTGCTGATGACGGCGTGTAGAGAGTGGCTGCTATCGTCCATGATGTCCAGCAGTTTGTTCAGTGTCCTCGCCTCTGCCACCGTCACCAGAGAGTCCAGCTTCATGCCGACCACAGAGCCGGCACGCCTGATCAGTTTGTCCAGTCTGGACGTGTCCTTCTTGGATGTGCTGCCTCCCCAGCACACCACGGTGTAGAAGAGGACACTGGCGATCACGTGTAACTAGTTGTCAATGTCCATAAATTTTATACTTTTCTTTGTGATTCTTAGCAGAAAATATCCTGGATTGAACAGTTTCTTTCAGGTGAATCTCAGTTTCCACTGCTGCTGTGGACATAGACTTAGTATCAGGACGTTTCATCTTGTGATGTTAGAGATGCTCTGAACTCCCTGAAAATATGTAAACCAAAAATCCCCAGTCTGCAGAACCATCTCATATTAAGCTGTTCAAATATAATTTTACATTAAGAGATCATAGCATTGTTCAGAGTGACAATGCTACGATCAGGACAAACATACAAGGCTGAACGCGTGGAGACAAACGAACAGCAGTTTGAGGCTTTAAATGTTCACTCAGCATGTCTGGAGCAAGTCTCCTGTCAGACTTAAACATAGAAGTGGTTCTGTTTCTGTCCAGCAGGGGCAGCAGAGGAGCAGCGCTGCTGAATCACTTCCTGTTTCAGTGAAACTGGAGCTGATGGGAGGAGCAGAGTCTGACTGGACAGTGGAGATGTTCCTGCTTTTGCACTGAACTCTCAGGATGAAAATAAAATAAAATGAGGATAAAATCAATGAGAAACTCTTCATGACAACATGTTTTATTCCATTTATTTCAGTCTGATTCTGTGTTTTAAAGGTAAAGGGAGGAGCAACACCGAGCCAACAGATGAAACATCATTTTTACAGAAATGAAAGTGAAAGTTTGTCAAAGTGATTCCTGAGTTGCTGTGGATGAAAACGTCCCAGAGTTCATGTTTCTCTTTGGTC